TAGGAAAAATCCATCAAAATTCTTCAGGCCTCAAAATTCCCATAATTCCAGAAAAAAATCCCCGAAATCTTCTGAAAACCCTACCAAATTACAGAAACATCCCTCAAAATTCTCTTAATCTTCTCTAAACCCAACCAAATTCCAGAAACATCCCACAAAATCTTACGTGTCCTCAATATCCCTCAAAATTCCCAAAAATTCCCACAAAACTCTTGAAACGTCCCACAAAATTCCTAAAATCTTCTCAGAACCCTACCAAATTCCAAAAACATTCCACAAAATTTGGACACCTTTCCACACAATTCAGGAAAAATCCCTCAAAATTCTTCATATCTCTTCAATATCCCCAAAAAATATTCCACAAAATTCCCACAATATTCCTGAAACATCCCACAAAATTCGCGAAATCTTCTCAAAACTCTTCGAAATTTCAGTAACATCCCACAAAATCTTGACAAATTTCCACACAATCTACGAAAAATCCGTCAAAACTCTTCATGTCTCCTCAAAAATCCCTCAAAATTCTAAAAAACCCAAAGAAATTCTGGAAAAATCCCTCAAAAATTCCCAAAATCTTCTCAAAACCCTACCAAATTGTAGAAATATCCCACAAAATCTTGAAAACTTTCCACACAATCCACCACCCCTTCCAATCTAGTAAACCGTATATTCCACAAAATTCCCGCAAAATTCCTGAAACATCCCACAAAATTAGCGAAATCTTCTCAAAACTCTTCGAAATTTCAGTAACATCCCACAAAATCTTGACGAATTTCCACACAACTACGAGAATCTCATGCCAAAACCCCAACTAAAACCATAACCTTCAAAATTTTAGAAAATTCCCAAAAAATTCCCAAAATCTTCTCAAAACCCTACCAAATTCGAGAAACATCCCACAAAATCTTGACAATTTTCGACACAGTCTAGGAAAAATCCATCAAAATTCTTCTTCTATCCCTCAAAATTCCCAAAAATTCCCACAAAACTCTTGAAACGTCCCACAAAATTCCTAAAATCTTCTCAGAACCCTACCAAATTCCAAAAACATTCCACAACACAGGATCAAAATAAATCCAAACAAATTCCAGAAACATCCCACAAAATCTTGACAACTTTCCACACAGGAACCTCAAATCTCTTTCCAAAACATCCCAAAAATTTTGTCTTCTCACCCTACAATTCTAACCCACAAAATCCGACAATTTCCACACAATCTAGTAAAAATCCGTCAAAATTCTTCATGTCTCCTCAATATCCCACAAAATTCCAAACATCCCCCAAATTCTCAAAATCTTCTCAAACCCTGGAAAATCCATCAAGATGCCTTAAAATTCCAAAAAAGTCCCACAAAATTCAAGAAACATCCCACAAAATCTTGACAATTTTCGACACAGTCTAGGAAAAATCCATCAAAATTCTTCATATCTCCTAAAAATCAAAAAAAAATTCCATAAAAAATTCCCATAAAATTCCAGAAACATCCCCCAAACTACCAGCTTCCAGAAACATCCCACAAAATCTTGACAACTTTCCACACAATCTTGTAAAAATCCATCAAAATTCTTCATGTCTCCACAATATCTACAAAAATTCCAAAAACAACCCATAAAATCCCCGAAATCTTCTCAAACCCCTACCAAATTCCAGAATCATCCCACAAAATTCCATAAATCTTCTCAAAACCCTACCAAATTTTAGAAACATCCCACAAAATTCTCTAAATCTTCTCAAAACTCTTCGAAATTCACGTAATAGCCCACAAAATCTTGAGAACTTTCCACACAATCTAGGAAAAATCCATCAAAATTCTTCATGTCTCCTCAATATCTCAAAATTCCAGAAAAAACCCTACCAAATTCCAGAAACTTCCTACAGAAACGAGAAAACTTTTCAACACAATCTAGGAAAAATCACTCAAAATTCTTCATGTCTCTTCAAAATTAAACAAAAATTCCACAAAATTGCAGAAAAATCTGACAAAATTCCTGAAATCTTCTCAAAACCCTACCAAATTCCAGGAATATGCAACAAAATCGTGTCAAGTTTACCCACAATCTCGGAAAAATCCATCAAAATTCTTCAAGTAAATTCAATATCCCACAAAAATCCAGAAACATCAAACAAAATTCTTGAAATCTTTCCAAAACCCTACCAAATTCCAGAAACATCCCACAAAATCTTGACAACTTTTCACACTCTCTTGGAAATATTCCTCAAAATTCTTCACGTGTCCTCAATATCCCTCAAAATTCCCAAAAATTCCCACAAAACTCTTGAAACGTCCCACAAAATTCCTAAAATCTTCTCAGAACCCTACCAAATTCCAAAAACATTCCACAAAATTTGGACACCTTTCCACACAATTTAGGAAAAATCCCTCAAAATTCTTCATATCTCTTCAATATCCCCAAAAAATATTCCACAAAATTCCCGCAAAATTCCTGAAACATCCCACAAAATTAGCGAAATCTTCTCAAAACTCTTCGAAATTTCAGTAACATCACACAAAATCTTGACAAATTTCCACACAATCTACGAAAAATCCGTCAAAACTCTTCATGTCTCCTCAAAAATCCCTCAAAATTCTAAAAAAACCCAAAGAAATTCTGGAAAATTCCCTCAAAAATTCCCAAAATCTTCTCAAAACCCTACCAAATTGTAGAAATATCCCACAAAATCTTGAAAACTTTCCACACAATCTCAGAAAAATCCATCAAAATTCTTCAGGTCTCCTCAAAATTCCCAAATAATTCCAGAAACATCCCACAAAATCCCCGAAATCTTCTCAAAACCCTACCAAATTCCAGAAACTTCCTACAGAAACGAGAAAACTTTTCAACACAATCTAGGAAAAATCACTCAAAATTCTTCATGTCTCTTCAAAATTAAACAAAAATTCCACAAAATTGCAGAAAAATCCGACAAAATTCCTGAAATCTTCTCAAAACCCTACCAAATTCCAGGAATATGCAACAAAATCGTGTCAAGTTTACCCACAATCTCGGAAAAATCCATCAAAATTCTTCAAGTAAATTCAATATCCCACAAAAATCCAGAAACATCAAAGAAAATTCTTGAAATCTTTCCAAAACCCTACCAAATTCCAGAAACATCCCACAAAATCTTGACAAATTTCCACACAATATCGGAAAAATCCATCAAAATTCTTCAAGTCCCCTCAACATCCCACAAAATTCTAGAAAATCACACAAAATTCCAGAAACGTCCCACAAAATTACAGAAATCTTCTCCAAACCCTACCAAATTCCAGAAACATCCCACAAAATCTTGACAACTTTCCACACAATCTCAGAAAAATCCATCAAAACTCCAATTTCACAGGCCTATTTAACATTTGATCCATCAAAATCAGTCCTTTGCTTTGTATTTTGGAAACTTGTTCATCTTGGGGAATTTGTCATCTCCTCAGGGCATTGAAGGTCAATCAAATGCTGCAGGTTTCATTCTTTCTTTAATATGGTCTGTGTGCTGGGGTTTGACTCTTAAGCAGAGCTCATTTTTTATTTTGCAGCCTAGCAGTTCTACTGTGGGGCTCTGGGCAGGTCAATTCACTTGAGAACGATGGGTAAATCAGCTCCTGGGAAGATGTGCACTGCCTGGCCCCGATGCTTCAGCATGCTTGAGGTCAGCTTGGCTGTCTCCGACTGTCTAATAATAATGCAGAATAATAGAATTAAGTATTCATTTTAATTGCTGATCAATAAGATTTGTTTTCATCTAAATCTGCGTGCTAGTTTCTAAACCACTACAGTCTGTTTCATCAATGACCTTCTTGATTTTTGCTTTCTAGTTTCTGCCGATCTTATTTTCTCGCCTGTCCCTGGAAGAGGAAGGGATGATGGCTGGAGGTTTGGCAGTCAGCGAGGGCCTGGCCACCACTACAGTTCTGGACTCTCAGCCTTGGAGATGTGATCAGGAATCTGCTGTTAGTTCCCAGTTTTGTATTGCAAAGACTGACCATGCTGCCAGCACTGTGTTTTATGAGTGAATTTTCATTTGGTCAAACTCCAAAGCAGCCTTAATTTTAAGGTGGAATTCTTTGTGGATGAGGCTGTGAAGAATATGGTGTTTATACTCCCATCCTACCGGCAGTACAGTAGAACAACTCCTAACGGATTTGGTAATAAAGACCTAGTTTTTCTTAACTAAACCTGCCCTAGCAAAATTCATAAGCTGGTGATAGCTATCTCTGGAGTAGAAAATCTTTATTGAGTTTATTGACAATTTAATATACTTTGTCAAGCTTTGCTGCTTAGTTTCTGTTTATCCTGTGGAAAATCTTTATTGAGTTTATTGACAATTTAATATACTTTGTCAAGCTTTGCTGCTAAGTTTCTGTTTATCCAGAGACACCTGGGGCTACCTTTGCTTCTTAAGGGATTAAACTAGCAAGCACTTAGAATCAGATTTTGGGAAGATGGGTGCAGGAGACCTTGTAATTCACTTCAGAAAAATATAATAATGATGAACACTTCAGAAGGAAATGATAGTATTTGACATAATATGTGAAATGCTTTCAAGTTATTTTTTAGTTTTTCTTTAATTTTTAATCCTGGATAAATTAAATGAGGCTTTTGGGGAAAGCATGAGCTGGAATTTATATTGTATTTATATTGCCCCGCCGTCACCGAGGACAGGGCTGTCCAAAGAAGTTGATGCAGCTGCTGAGGCAGAACCGTGACCTGATGCAGCTGCACCTTCGTTACTGCTCTCAGCCGAGGCCAAGAACCAAGTCAGCGGCAAAAGTGGGCATTGGGAGGAGACTCCGCATCTCCCCTCAGTTCTGACCTCCAGAGCGTCAAATCAGCTCTTTGACTCACAGCTCACCACAGACCTCGAAACAGGAGGCAAAGATCTACACCAGTTGGCCTTTCACAACTTCTCACCCATCTATTACCTTTCTGTGGCCAGCTTCAGAAAATGGGGGGGAAGCCATTCCAAAGAACACGACCAAGGAAATCACACAGCACTCGGGACTTTTTCCAGACATCAAATTTTTAATGGATGATGTGAAGTAACACAGAAGCAATTCCTGTCCACAGAAAAAAAGATTTCAAATGTTTTTGTCTCAAAGACAATCACTGGATGTTGAAAATTTCTGCTGCTGAAAGTTACATTAAGTCCTCAACACTGAGCAATCAATATCCCCACAATCTAAACTGTGAAATTACCACCTCGGCAAGGAGAAAATTTTCAGGATTTGCAACTCATCTCAAAACTTCAGTAGAACTGAACCAGCAGAATTTCCCTGAGATGCCATTGTGTTCTGGAACCCCTCAAATACTCACTAAAACAGACTTTACTTTCAGTAGGACAGCTGTTGATGAAAATCTGCGGTAAAACCTATGGGAAGTGGCCATGTGCACGCATCTTCCTTCCCACAGCAGGCACAATCAAATCCTCCTTTGAATGGCCTCAAAGTTGAGCAGCACTCATTGGCACAGCCTCTTCTCCCACAGACAGGCCAGTGAGCAACACGGCAGCGCCAGCCAGATGGGCAAGGACAAGAGAGAGCAGATGCCAACAAGGCTTTGAAGCTGTGCCAAGGGAGGTTTACGCTGGGCGTTGGCAAGAACTTGTGCCCAGAAAGGGCCATTAGATCCTGCAATGGCCTGACAGGGGGCTGCTGGAGTCATCCTTGTGGCAGGTGGGCAAGGCAAGCCAGGCCGCAGCGCTCGGGCCCCGCTCTGCTGGCCATGCTTGCCGCCATGGCTCACAGGTTGGACTCAACATTCTCTCAGGGCTCTCTGAGGCCAGGGCGTTCTGTGCTTCTGTGACATCACAGCCTCTGGCGACGGCACGGTGCCTGAATTAGGAAAAATGCATCCAAATTCATCAAGTCATGTCAATATTTCACAAAATTCTAC